TTTTTTTTTTTTTTTTTGCCTTGAGGAAAAGACTAGAGTTTAATAGCGTTTAGGGCTCTTGTACATAGGGTCGCTATGAGTTGCAAGGACTAGATGGCACATAACAACAAAAACAGCAGCAGTTGATTACAGAAAGTTCTATTCATGCTACCACCACAGTGAGAAATCTAAAATTTAAAGCTGATTATCTCTTTGGATACATAAAACCAATATATATTAAAGTGTATCCAAAGTGCAAATGAGGAGGGAAGAGGCAGTCAACAGACCTCTTGACAGAGGCTGCAGCAGCAAGCTGATTATCCTAACAACAGAACACTGAAACTCCTTCTGGAGTTCAGTCCTGGGAAATGAAATTGTCTTGGCCAAAAAGAGGTCCACACAAAAATGGGGGGGGGGGGGGCAAAGAGGTCCAGACATGAGTTTTGATTGATTCTTATTAAAAATAGTAAAAGGCAACCTTCCCATTGCTGATGTTAAATCTGGCACCAAAGGGAAACTGTGGCTTATTTTTTTTGTATTTAGATTGAGCAAGAAAGGAGTGACACCTAGCCAGTAATTCTGACTCCAGGCTGAAATCTCTGCACCTGAGTCCTGAGCTCTTCAGGCAGGATGGCCTGGAACTGCTCCTGCACCAGCATTTCCACAATCTGCTCCTTTGTGTGGATATCGGGTTTCAGTCACTTGATCTCCAGCTCCTACAGATGTTGAAATACATCCCTGGGCTGAGCTGCCTTCTCATAGCGGAACTGTCTGAACCTTGACATTCATATATGGTTTGTAATAGTGCCTATTCTCATCACTGGGGCTAAGAAAAAGAATCAGATTCCTAACTGACAGGGCATTCAATGGAATACTGAGGAAGGCCTTGGGAATAACTAGCCCTACACTGAATATTGCTCCAGAGACACCTAACAAATCCTAATGAGACCAAAAAGGATCAGACTATGTCCAATAACTGCATCCCAGAGCAAAGCATACACCGATAGGTAAGAGTACAAAAATAGCCAGTACTGATGAAGATAAAATTCTCTATATTTCTATATTTTTATGTCTTCAATTCTCTATATTTCTTTAATTGTAAGTAAAGGCTGTATATCTTTTATGCATTTATAAACTGTATTTATCTATGTGTGATCTACTTTTTTCTGTCCTTTACCCATTTTCTTTTTTGGAATGTTGGTCTTCTTTGTTAGGTATCTGGCTAATACAGTTGAAGAAGATGAAGAAGAATCAAAGTATGAAATTTTTCCTTGGGCTTTAGGAAAAAACTGGAGAAAATTATTCCCTGATTTCTTAAAGTTAAGGGATCAACTCTGGGATAGAATTGACTATAGAGCTATTGTAAGCAGGCGATGCTGTGAGGAGGTAAGGATTTTAAATTACTTTTTGTATATATTGTCTCTGTCTTTTGTTTATGTAATTTCCTTGTCTTATCCTTTAATGTGCTTCTAGTGTTTTACTTTTGGTATATGTAAGGATAGACTATTAACCTTGTCATTTACATGAATGCAGTTGTGTATTGCAGTGTTGTTATTTTAATTTTGCATCACAGTAATTAAAAACAATCACTTTTGTATTCCTGAAAAGCCTGGTACTGTAATAATTACTTTTATCATATTTTTCCTATCTTAAAAAAACCCACCACATAAATATTTTCAAAGATGGTGATGTCTAACATACCAAAATATTTTATTGATATTGGAATTGGATAATATACATTAAAGAACATGAAATTTCAAATTCCTGTGATTTAAATACCAATGGCAAGATAGAACTTTTTTTTTAACTATTTTATTTTATTATTTTGTGTGTGTGTACCGTCAAATCAGATCTGACTGGTACCGGAGGAGGACATTGCCCCTCCTTCTCCAGCAGAGCATCTGGTGGACTCGAACCACGTGCTTCTGGGATTGCAGTGCAGCCTTTTGCCACTAGGCCACCAGAGCTCCCTGCAAGATATAACTTTTGAAGAAATTTAATTAAAAGCCATACCTCTTTTCACATTTATATCCTTAATACCAGACCCTATTATAATAAAGCAGCAGGACATAAAAATTTCAAAGATTGATTGCTCTGACTTTCAAAAAATAAAAAAGTTTATATTTCAAATTAAATAACTGTAGAACATTAGTTGGAAAGCATTTATCTATATGTTGTTCTTGTTATTGTGTACCATAGAGTTGGAACTGGCTCATTTTAGAGGCAGTTACTTGCACGGGAGGAGATTACCTATCCTTCTCCCTCGGAGCAGCTGGTGGCCTAGAACCACATGCCTTTGGGATTTCAGTGCAGCTTCCACTAGGCCATCAGAGACCCCTCTTACTTATATGAGTCAGTACTCATTCTGCTATCAGTTGTTGCCTTTGAGCTGGAACTGACTCATGGCTGACCTTCCCGGGGCTTTCCGAGGATTTAAATCACATGGGGGGATGTCACTCATCTTTCTCCTGGCAGCTGCTGAATTCAAACCTCCAGAAAGGTGCTCCCTGTGGGTTAGCAGCACAACTCCCTAAGCACTTTGGAGTGCCCACACTAGTTCAGAATATTGTGATACACATAGGCCAGATGGTTCTGCAATAAATTGAAGTCACATCCAGTCAAATGATTATTGGCCCAGAGAGTAAATTAATGGGTTAGTTTTAGATTTGTGGGAGATTTTAATGTTATGTCACATAACTCTTCTGAAAACTAACCTTGCTAATAATATTTGTTAATGAGATGAAGGCATGGCGAATATGTCTACTTATTGATAAAATTAGGATGACTGTTGCATGTGCAGGAAATGCAAAGTCTAGGAAATTCTTAGAAGACTGTTCAAAAAGACAAGATTGCATTTAATAGAAACATATGCCACTATGGCTGTACACAGTCCCTGAAATGAATGGATCCCCACTGAAATATTTAAGGTAAATTATTCCAGTTTCAGAGCCTTGAAATATTACTCTATTTTTCTGTATTTGTCACTGCCTGCCTATATTAAGAGTGGGTGATTTCTGCCATTCTTGGCTATGATTTTGATCCCTCTTTTTCTCACTCTAACTTTCATCGAGTTAGAGCTCACTCACAGCTGACCCTCAATTAGGTTTCCTTGGCTGTAAATCTCTCAGGAGGAAACTGCCCATCTTTCTCCCTCGGAGCAGCTGGTGTATTCAAACCTCCAGAAAAGCTCAGCTGACAAGAGTTATCAAAGTGCAGTTCTCTACAGACTGACCACCAGAACTCCCATTAGATTTGACAGCTTGATTTGTGCACTAAATCTGTTAAAGTGAACACTTCAGACCTCTGGGGCACTGAGAATAAGGAGGGGGCCCAAGAGGGAAAAGATGGGAACAAGAAATGGCTTTTCTTCCATTGAACTGCCATCTACTCCGAAAATATAAGTATTACAGTTTAGCTGCAACAACTTCAATATATACTGGAAATGGAATTGCCATGGTACTGACACCAAATTATCAAAAAGCAAAAAAGAATGATGTGGTTTAAGGATACATTTGAAAACTACTTAAAAGAGTTTTAGACAATTGTAAATGTGTTTGTGTATTGGGACTTACAGAAAACTTATGTAGGCTGCATTAATAATTGGTGTGTTAAATAGCATTATATTCCAAAGTCTTTTCAATGGTGAAATTTTGGAAGCAGATTTTCAGGTCTTTCTAACAAGGTGCTTCAGCATGGAATCAAACCTCCAGCCTTTCATTTAGCAGCAGGCACATCAAACAAAACCCCAGGAATCATAATTTTCACAAAATAAAGATCATCAGATTCTTACCCAGTGTACTGCCTCTGTTTATACTGATTGTCTATTCAGAGGACACCAGAGTCTCAAAAGTAAAATGTCACGTGTGAAATGATACGTAGGATTAGAGATTTTTAATATGAAGAAAATTCAGGAAGCTTGCTTTTAAATGTTTAAAATGGATGAGACAGGAAGCATTTAATTTTGTCCTTTTTTATTAGAAAGGAGATAATTAAGATCTATGGATGAATTATTAAAAGGGGGAAATATTTGAGTATGATGACTATCATCTTGCCAATTATCTGAAAATGAGGCATTTTACCTAAACATGAAAAGATACTCCACCTCATGAGCTATTGTTGTTGTGTACTGTTGAATCAGAACCAACCCAAAGCTGACCCTCCAGTGGGTTTTTTAGAGGCAGTAATCTCATGGGAGATTACCCATCTTTCTCCCAAGGAACAGCTGGCAGAATTGAATCACATGCCATTGGAATTGCAGGGCAGCTTGTTACCACTGCGCCACCAGAGCTCTTAATTAGCCATTGTTGTTTTTGTTATGTGCTGTCAAGTCACCTGCAACCCTATGCACAGCAGCTCTGAAACCTTTCCTGTCCTGAGCCAGTCTCACTAATTCTGACACATCTCCCCCGTTACCCAAGTTACTGTATCCATCCCTCTCATCCTGGGTCTTCCTCTCTTGCGCTGTCTCTCCACCCTTCCAAGCATGATATCCTTCTCCAAGGATCAGTCTCTCCTAGCCACAGGCCCAAAATATGTGAAATGGAGCTTCAAAATTTTAGCCTCCAAGGACAGCCTTGGTTTCACCCTCTCCAAGACAGACCTATTTATTTTCTTGGCAGTCCGTGGTAAGTTCAAGACTCTTCTCCAGCACCACAACTCAAAAAGCCTCTTCTTCTGTCATCCTTAGTCATTGTCCAGCTCTCTGATGCATACAAGTAATTGTGAAGACCAAGGCTTGGATTAGGTGCACCTTAGTCTCTAGGCGGACTTCGTTGCTTTCAGCACTCTGGAGAGGTCGCTGATAGTAGATTTTCCCAGTGCAGTTCGTCTTTTGATTTCCTGGCTGCTGGTGTTAAGAGTGTTGATTATGGATCCAAGCAAGCTGTAAATGCTAACAACCTCAGTCTCTTCTCCATCTATCATGGTGCTGCCAGTTAGGAAGATGTAAATCAAAACCACAATGAAAAACCAAACTTCCTCACTTCATTAGAATGGCAGTGATTAAAAAGAATAGAAAATAAAAGATATAGACAATATTATCAAGAAAACAGAATTGACATTCCTTGCTGGTGGGCCTACAAAATGATAAAGGTACTGACAAAAGCTTTGTCAGTTTCTCAAAAAGTTGAACATAGAACCAACAGATGATCTTATGATCTCAACCCTAGGTATAAACCCAGAAGAAATGAAAGCTATAATGCAAACAAACCTGTGTGGCATTGTTTAAAATGCCTATCAAATGGACTGGATAAGTAAAATGTAGTATATGAAGAGATGGAGTTTGTCGACAGCTTCAGTTTGCTTGGCTCTACGATCAACACGCTTGGTACCAGCAACCACAAAACCAAAAGACAAATTGCATTGGGAAAGTCTGCTGTCTGAGACTTCTCCAAAGTACTGAAGAGCAGTGATGTCAGTCTGGAGACTAAGGTGTGCCTGATCCAGGCCATGGTCTTTGCAGTCACTTGCTATGCATCAGATAGCTGGACAAAGACTAGGGATGATAGAAGGAGAGTTGATATCTGTGAGCAGTGGCATTGGAGAAAAATATTGAATATACTATGGACTACTAAGAGAACGAACAGGCTCGTCCGGGAGAGGGTGAAACCAAGCTGCTCCTTCGAGGCAAGGATTCTGAGGCTTCATCTGACATACTTTGGACATGTTGCAAGGAGGGACCAGTCCTTGGAGAGGGATGCCATGCTTGGGAGGGTGGAAGACCCTCGATGAGATGGTTTGGTTCAGTCACTGGGGTAATGAAGATAGGTGTGTCGGAGACAATAAAATTAGTAAGGGATAGAGCAGGATTTGGGGATGTTGTACATAGGGTCACTATGAGTTGTAAGCAACTCAACAACATATAACAATAACAGCAATATACATCCAATGAAATACTGTTCAGCCACAAAGGAAAATGAAGTCTTGAAATGTGCCATACATAGCACAACCTCAAAAAAGTAAAATAAGTCAGTCACAAAAGGACAAGTAATATATAATCTCACTTATAGAAAATAAGAAAATGTATTTTATGATTGTTAGGTACCATTGCATGAACTCCAACTTTTTTCAGGAATTAAGTCCTTGATTTCATCTCACAACTCTTGATCATTAATGTTCCATGCATCAAATATATTCTTGACATGGTTTTTACATTCAGGTGGAATAAATGCCAGGTCATATTTTTTTCTGTCAGACTTGTTTTAATTTTATTCATCTTCAGTTTGAACTTGCATAGGAGGAATTGATTGTCGGTTTCACAATAAGCCCTTGGCCTTGTTCTGGCTGCTGATATTGAGCGTCTCCAACACTTCTTTCCACAGATGTAGTCAATCCGATTCCTGTATCATCTATCAGGTGAGATCCATATGTATAGTCACTGTTCATGT